CTTTCCCCGCAGCCGAAGGCCTTGCCGAGGGGGTTAACACCTTCCTTGCCCGTTTCTGCCCCATTTGCCGTGCGGCACTAGGGGGCCGCCATCTCACCTCCACGCCGTGCGGTTTGACTCTGGCCAGTTGCGCCTCCAACACGGAGATGTCGGTGATCCATCCCGCCAATATCTCTGGGCACCCTCGCACCACGGCCCTCTTGAAGAGCCATGGGTCCAGCCCCTCTTGGAATAGCTGCACGAGGAACACTTCTGGCCAGTCGGGCAGCTTTGCCACCAAATGCTTGAACTCAAGCACATACTCAGTCACCAAGCGCGGCCCCTGCTTCAGCTCCCGGATTGCCTCCGCTGTGTGCGAGCGGGCACATTGGTCCTCGAATCGGTCCCGTAGGGCGGTGATGAAGCGGTCAAAGTCCCCCAGTTCTGGGGCCTCCGCTTCATTCAAGTCATTCACCCACTCAGCTGCCATGCCTACCAGGAAGCGGGACACATATAGCACCCTCCAGGCATCACTGGCAAACAGGCGCCCGCACGTGCCCATGCAGATTCTCACCTGGTTCAGGAAGGCGGGCAGTTGGGCATTGTCTCCGTCATACTTCTCTACCAGCCCCCATCTTCGCAACAGGTCCCCTTCCACCTGTTGAGGTCGTTGGGCGGCTTGCTCCTGGTCCGCTCCCCCGCCGTGTCCAGCGGGGGTTTGGACTGGGGGGCGATGAGGGGGAAGGGTCAGTGGTTCCAGCGGAGCCATTGGGGAGGGCTGGTTGAGCGGTGCCAGCCCCTGTAGGGGGTTGGGAGGTTGCACGGAAGGTTGTGCCAGAATCCTTAGCTTGTCCAATTCCTTCCTCAGTGCGTGCACTTTATCTTCCAGCTCCCTCACCCGTTGTCCCTCATCCCATGGCGTTGCCACTTTGGTCGCAGTCCCCATGGCCCTCGACCATCAAGGGCGGGCTGGCACCTCAGGGGTAAACTCTCCAGCGTCTTCCCAGATGCTCTGGTCTCTCGGTGGGTCCCAGGGGTGGGCCAGTCACCTCGTTGGGGTCTTCAGTCTGGCGCCCGCTAGAGCTTCAGTGAGGGGGATTTGCCATTCCTCCTCTTCTGCTGGTGCCTCTGGTGAACTTTTCGGCAGTTCCTCAGAGGC